TTCCGTAGTGATAACTGCCTCGGAAACCCAAGGAGGGGTCGCTATGAGTCGGGGCCGACTCGACGGCACATAACAACAACAACAACAACAAGCATTTTTTTAAAAAAAGTGTTCCAATTGTGCTTGATAGCTCAGTTTTATTGGTCCAGGCATAAAGCTAAATTTATCCAAGCAGATTTTGAATAAAGAAAAAAATGTTAACATGATATTTAATAATTGAAGGTTAAGTGGTCATTAAAGAAAAGTTCTAATGTTCTACAACTAGCCAAATTATATAGGCACCTGAAATACAGTTTTCTTGAGAAATCTGTGTTCTGCCTTGGCTTTTCATGCAGAGTTGATATTTTATATAAATGTTGCTAAGTGTATTTTTCCATGATTGGTTAACTATGATGTCCGTGTTACTTAAAAAGTTTCATAAAGTAGAATTTCTAAGGCAGAGGCTATTAGAGCAGGCTTTTCATTTTTCTTAAAAAAAATCTCCGAAGTTCTCCATGCAAATGATATAACTCCAGTTAGTGCCAACATTTATTCACTGTGACCACAAGAGACTTAGGAATTCTTTTCCGGTCTCTAGATGTATTCTCAAGTCCCAGGGTAATTTGGATGATTTAAGTTTATTTAACGTCTTTTTTGGCCTCCAGGTTGTAGCCTTCACCTGCTGTTTAGTATTTCGTTCCAGAATCTTAAAACCCTGGTTACACAGAAAAGGAATGTTACATCTTAAAATAAAGTAGTCATGAAGGAACATTCTTGTCGACTTCACTCCTGGAAGCAGGTATTGTTTGCTTTTTTTTTTCCCTCCACTTTGAACTAGGGTAACAAACTAAATTAGAAATTTAACAAATCTTTAGAAAATATATAAAAGTGACACTTTCAGGATGTATTTTTCGATTTCTAACATCAATAATATGTCACCAATTCATTAGTTTTGTTTTTGTTCCCCTATCATAATGTGACCAAAGGAGCTCTGGTAGCGTAGTGCCTAAGGCACTTGACTGCTAACCAGAAGGCTGGTGATACAAACCCACCAGCCACTCCTTGGAAGGAAGGTTGGGCAATCTACTTCCATAGAGATACTGCCTCGGAAACCCTAGGAGGGGTCACTATGATTCAGAACTCATGGCAGTGAGTTTGGTTTGATTGGTTTGATTGTTTATACTGTAATAATGTAACCAATGTAGCTCTGTATGTCTTACTCAGTTTGTTTAAACTGGCACTTGAGGAGAGAGAGAGAAGGATAGAGATTTTTTTTTTTTTTTCTTTTTCGTTTTTCAGTTAATGCATACACAAAGTTACTTGAAAGAACATGGTAACCAAATGCTAGACATCAACCCCAGAGAGGAACGGAATTTGCACAGAATGTAGGAGTCTCATTTTCAGAGCTGTTGCTCTTGACTTGAGAATGACTGGCGCTCTCTCCAGAAGCCACAGAAAGTCCTTGGCAACTCTGACTCTGGCTCTGCCCCTGGCCAGGAAAAGAACACACACTAAGAAATGTCACATAGGGGCTATGCATGACAGATCAAAGTTATTTGTTAATTTCAACAATATGGAGAATATTATTCACACATCAGAATTCTTTTTATCATGTCAGAAACCACATTCCTAAGGAGGGGAAAAAAAGGTTTTGAAAACATAATTTGTAGGACAGAGCTTATCTCAGTCATATGTAAACTATATCATCAAATTTCCGAAGAAGGGTCAGACAAAATGTACCTTAGTCTCTTACTTTCCTGTTTTCCTTAGACTTTTACATTGCAGAGATAGAAAGAGATACTGTCAAGGAGTTTAATAAATTATCAAAAATTACTTCTGCAGCACAAAGATCGAGTTCAATCCTCCCTTGAAACTCCCAGAAACTCTTCTATCTCTAAACCTACATTATGTTTACTGTCTTTATCATACTTTTTTTGCATCTTCCTAAGAAATTCAGGATGTCTTTCAGTTTCCACTTTTCTATAAAACTTTGAAATGACATGTGTGTTAGGAGGGATCATATTTAAACTTTAATAAATAACTGTCAAAGCAGAACACATATTCAAATAGTGTATTCAATTTGATATTTGGTGTTCACTAGTACATTTATGTGATGCAAGTGTGCTCATTTAATACAAAATAATGATCACTTGTTACCTAAGAGAACATGTTTTCAATATTACAGTGCTGCAACCACAAAATACACTATATGTCATTTTCTTTTAGACAGTTCCTTCAAGAACAAAATCACATGTGGAGGTACTAAGTTTCACAAGATATTGTCTATCATTTTAAAAAATTAACATTCTTTGGTGGATTGGTGGGAAATTTAATCCATACTATTTTCAATAAGAAATCCTTATGAATGTATGGACAATTTCCCAATAGTTAAGAAAAACCCAATTCAAGAGTTTACAAAAGAGAAATGCTGGTTTAAAGATACCACATAAATTTAAGATTAAGAAACATTTTCCATCACAACCAGTCTGTCTCTGCTCGATAAAATGTGATATCCTACACATATTTTATGTGAGAATGAGAGAAAATTTTACTACTTTGATTAAATTTGGAAAGTCTGAATCACACATTATATACACAATTCTGTGGAAAGGTCTATAGGGCTACAAATTCCTGAGAGGCAGGCAGTGACAGATTACCCAATAAACAAGGTAAGCACAGGCTTATTGTGCTTACTTACTATTCTGTAGTGAACAATTTTACATTTTCCTTACATCAAAGATTCTTCTTGATATGGCTGTCAACGCTTCACTACCGATTTAGTAAGCAAGCACAAAGAAGCCTGTGTTTACCTTGCTTATAAGGGACCTGCCCCTGGAGACAGTCTCAGTTGAGCACACCCCAACAAAGTTTGCTGGTAATCTCCCCAGAGAAGTGACCTTTCATTTTTTATAGCATCATTAACTATATTTCTCACCCGGATACTCAATAGCAATAAGTTTCCTGATAAAAGTTGACCAACCGGCTCACCACAGAAGAATTGAGGCTCTTATTTGTAGCATGTGCTGATTACTATGGTAAAAATTCTCCCATGGGGTTCATTTCAAGCTACCAATATGATATGCTAAGTTGAAAAAAGATGGCATCTACAGCTCCCAGAGGTCTGTTTACTTCTTCAATATTTTACTTAGGACAGTCAGGCCAAAGAAAGTGAAAGATCTAGGTGGTAAGTAGTAAACTTACAGGTATAAACATTGCCAGCGGAACAGTTAGAAAAGCATTAGGGAGTTGCTTGTTCATAACATTGAAACAGAGGGAAATTGAATTTAGTAGGACATCAGCACAAATGGTAGAAGGTAAATGGATCAAATTTTGATTATGCTAAGTAACAAAGAAGTTCCCAGCTAGTTCACCATCGAGTCATTTCCAACTCACAGTGACTCCTATTGGGCTTCCAACACTGTAAATCTTTGTGGAAGTAGATTGCCTGGTCTTCCTTCCATGGAGCGGCTAGTGGGTTTGAACCACTGACCTTCCAGTTAACAGTCAAGTGCCAGGAACATATTCTTCCTCTTGAAGTCTTAGTGTCTGTGTGTATGTGTGCATTTAACTTGGAGAAGATGAAGAAAGGTTGGAAGATTACTTAACACAGATATTATTATCCATAGAGGAATGGAATTTCTATTAGGATTCTCCCTATATTTTGAGCTCCTTGGACTTGAAGATGTTGGGACTAAAATTAAATTGAAACCTAGAATCTTACACTTTCATTGTATAATTGAGAAAAAGTTCACTGCAATAGCACTGTGGGTGTATATCTGAACTTGTCTGAGAGAGATTTTTAAAAATTTACTGGAAATATAATTAATTTGATTAGAACTCACACATATGAGTATTTTACATTTTGTAAATCTCAATTCAATATAACATCTACTAATAATTTCAGGAACCAATGCCATAACAAAATAATTTCAACCTCTCTTCTAACCTCTGTATTATATCCTTTCAAATTTAGAGGCATTTTTATTTCTTTCTAGTGTTTCATTTGTTTGTTTTAGCATGGCCAAATACTTCTCCAAGTAAGTTCATGTTTTTCTAAAAACTATTGGCAAATCCATACTTCAAAATAAATTCTGACCCAGAGCTTAAAGGGTGATTGTAATTTAAACCTCTAACCCCTCAATACAATGTGGTGTTCAAGAGCTTTAACTTTCTATTGAGTCCCTGTATAAAACCACTTCACACAACGTACATTTTTCTATTAAGGCTCACGGAGTATTAAGCCCTTTAGCCTTTGTGGTGTGTTCAAGCACGGGGTAAGCTGGTCTGCTTGGTCCTTCAAGTAATCTAAAAATAATAATCCTCCTCTGAATATTGTTGCTGTCCTGGCAGCTATCTCTAATCCTTCCTTTCAATATTAGGACATCATTCTGCTTGAAATACCATGTAATTGAAATTACAAGCTCTATATGCTTCCTGGCCATAAGCCAGAACGTTTGAAATCAGCCTAGATGGTAAGTATATATTGAGCTAGGAACCATCATATTACGATATGGGATAAATTATAGTCATTGCTTCAGTTTACCCATGGATCCACTGGAATGAAGCACAATGTGAATTTTGTAAAACACTGAGGACTCCAACAGTAGAATCGCTTTCCAGTGTCATCTGCCTTCTTCAATAATAAGGTTTTGGTTTCCAATTCTTTTTTGCACAGTGCTAAAATTCAGAGAGGCACTCAGAACAAGCACACAGGAATTCTAGTTCTATGTCATTTGGGGCGATCTCTTTTCTCTGAGCTTCCTGTCAAATTTTTAAAATGAGGATACAACAATAGTTGTTGAAACAGTAAAAGTGTTTTATAAACTGAAATTCACATATCAATGTCAGTCATTGATTTGTATAAAACCAGCCATAGAGAAGAGTAAAGACAAAATTTGCCTTATTATACTCTATTTTACTAACAGCACAAACACATCAAAAGCCGACTATGTTTGACATTTGCACATCATTGTTATACAAAGACTTAAAATAAATAAATAAAATGAATGCATCACATTTAAATTTCCAGTATACAAAAGATGACTTTTCTTTTTCTTTCCTTTTATATAAACAACTCTATGGAAATTCACTGTTCTAAGAAATGAAGACTATCAGTCTTCCGTTGCCCAGAAACTAGTCAACAGTGGAATAAGGAGACTTTCCGAAATGTTACAGAGGTGTTGTTGAACTAAGGTCATGAACTAACTCTACTCAGTAGAATCAGCCTTCCACAACAGCATATAAACAATAGGGCTGGCTAACTATCTACTAGGAGCTATCTACTAGGAGTACCCACCAGGCACTCCTCGGAAGGAAGGTTGGGCAATCCTACCTCCGTAGTGATACTGCCTCGGAAACCCAAGGAGGGGTCGCTATGAGTCGGGCCGACTCCACGGCAAACAACAACAAACAACAATTATCTACTAACTAATTCACTGCCATAGAGTCAGCTCCAACTCGTAGCAACCCCTTCTTGGGTTTCTGAGGCGGTATCTCTATGGAAATAGATTGCCCAGTCTTCCTTCTGAAGAGTGGCTGGGGGGGTTGAACTGTCAGCCTCTGGTTAGCAGTCAAATGCCTTAGGCACTACACCACCAGAGCTCCCTGCTCAAAGCAGTCTCACAAAAATAGAAAGAAGTAGAAATTTAGTGTCCTTAAAATGTAGATCAGGAGTAATAATATGTAATGTTCATTAAAATTGAAAATGATAGTATT